TAATGCGTCATCCGCCGCGCCGTCATCACTGCCTCTTGACTGAAAGAGGAAGAAAAAAAATACGGCAGAGCGAGTCAGCGCCGCAGGTGCAGTGTTGCCAACTCAGCGACTTTTCAGACCCCTCCAGCGACTATTTTTCAAAAAAAGCGACTAGCGACAAATCTGGCGACTTTTTACGGTGTCATTGGCGGCTTTTGGAGACTCTTACGTGAAAGCATGTATCGTTCCTACTCTGCCATGGGGCGCCTCCCCCACCCCAACCGTGTTTTCCCGCAGGAGTCCCTCTCAGCGCTGCAGTCAGAGCCTCAGCGTCCAGACTGCAAATGAAGCGCGCATGCGGCGGGATTGACGTCGCAAATTGATCACAATAATTAAAATAGCCTGCGCTTTGTAAAGTGAAAAAAGTGATAACATGCAACTTTTGTCAAAAGAAATTAACATGGCACGGCAGCACCATGTTTGTTTGGTTTTAAAGTGGGGAAACGTAACGTTAGTTTCTCAGGTAGCTCATCTGATGCTTTCCTTACCTTGTTAGTAGGTTACAGACAGTGATAAGGTTGGCTACTTATTTTACTTTTAATTTCATTTGAATTAGCTTAAGCAGCGTTTATATTTACTTTATAAATAAATTAACTTGCAAATTATGAGGGCAAGGCTTTTAAAGTTTAAATCTTCTGGCAAAGATAAAGTAAAGAAGATCCTGCAATTTATGGAAGTAAAGCAGAATAAAATCCAGCAAGATCAGTAATATGTCAATTAATTATCTGCCACATTCCCATGTAAATTGGAGTCTTTGGAGGATGTGTTTTTTTTACCACCCCTAGTTCTCATTTTTATTCCAAATACAATTTATAATTTGAATCACAGGGCTATTTTTATCTCTATGGTTCAGTATTTTCTCAAGTAGCAACTTTAACTGCTATACTTTCCTGTCTTAAAAGGCAGAACTCTTCTAGTCTAAAAAAAACCTCATTTGTTGAAATGGGGGGGCCTATTGTTTGAACCCCTTAGGTGCTTTTAAAAACAAAAATGTCTTTTTTTGCGCTTTATGAAACAAAGTACCCTATATTTTGTGGATGTACAGCTACATTTCTCATGTAAGTTTGCGTAGTTTTAACACAAACATAAATTTTTTTCATATTGCACCAGGACAGTTAATGAGCAACCTGTACTTGTGTGCTTGTTTGTTCTGTCTAAAATGTTTATTTTGGAATAAAGAGGTTAATATAAAAAATATTTTTTGTCCGATTCATCGATTAATCGAAAAAATAATCGTCCGATTCATCGATTTTTAAAATAATCGTTAGTTGCAGCACTAACCTCCAACATCTATAAACAAAGGTGTTGATGGCAGCAGCACAACTGATATTTCTCACAGCCAAACAGGAACAGGTGAGGCTACTATGAGAAAAGGCAGAGAGCATAATGTTAAAGATTGAACTAATAGAGTGGGAGAATAGAGATATAATGAAGCAGAATGATGAAAAAGGGGTCCCTATGTACTCCAGAAGTCTAAGCCTATAGCAGCATAACTATAGAGATAACTCAGGAAAAAGGAAAGTTTTAAGCCTACCCTTAAAATTAGAAAGGATGTCTATCTCACTGACTAAAACTGGTAGCTGGTTCCACAGGAGAGGAGCCTGATAACTAAAAGATCTGCCTACCATTCTACTTTTAGAAATTCTAGGAACCACTAGTAAACCTGCAGATTGAGAGCAAAGTGCCCTTTTAGGAACATAAGGAACAATCATATCTCTGATATAAGATGGAGCTTGGCCATTTAAGGCTGAGAAGGAGGATTTTAAATTCTATTCTGGATTTAACAGGAAGCCAATGAAGAGAAGCCAGGATTAGAGATATGTGATTTTCATCAGAACTCTGGTTGCAGCATTTTGGATCAGCTGAAGGCTTTCAACTACAGTTTTTGAACTTTCTGATAATAAAGAATTACAATAGTCCAGCCTTGAAGTAACAAATGCATGGACTAGTTTCTCAGCATCACCCCTGGACAGGAGATTTCTAATGTTTGCAATATTCCGCAGATAAAAGAAGGAAATTCTAGAAAACTCTTTGATATGGGATTTAAATGACAGGTCCTGAGTAAAATAGCTCCAAGATGTTTTACTTTATTATCTGAGATCAGTTTAATCCCATCCAAATGATGTGACTGACTAATCAGCTTCTTTTTCAAATAAACTGGTCCAAAGACTATAACTTCTGTTTTGTCTGCATTCAGGAGCTTCAAGACATGCCTGTAATCTATGTAATGGGTTAGCTTCATCTGGATTTATAGAAAGATATAGTATTATCAGCATAACAGGGGAAATTAATCCCATACTGTCTAATAATTCTACCGATTGGTAGCATATATATATCGTAAAGAGAATTAGTCCTAGCACTGATCCCTGTGGTACTCCACAGGTAACCTTTGAACATGAGGAAGATTTGTCATTGATGTGAACAAACTGAAATAGCAACATTTAAAGTCTTTGGTACATATTCCTGTAACATGGAGGACAAGATCAAAGGGAATACTTCCTTAAATAACCTGGTTGGAACTGGATCTAACACTCAAGATGAAGACTTGGATGAAGACAATAGTTTTGTTAACTCTGAAAGTTCAACTGGATCAAAGCAGTCTAAACCCAGTTCAGATTCAGATCAGTACATTTACAGTGGTACTGATTAAGATCTACTAACTATTGAGTTGGTCTTGACTTATTTTGATATATTTAGGTGGAAATTAGGTCTAAATATTCATTGTTAGCACCTCAGCTGGCAGTCTGTTGATAATACCTTTAGCAGTACCCCTCAATAAATAAATATTTTGCAACAACATACATTAATTTAATCATTTTGGTGGATTTAATGATTTTAACGTGCTTCCTCTTATGGTTTATTGCTATATATAATATTTGGTTAATGTAATAGATAAATAAATGTTACACCTACTTTCATTACTATTTTACAGTATAGAGGTCCTTCTCAAAATCTTAGCATATTGTGATAAAGTTTATTATTTTCATTATTGTAATGATAAAACTTGAACATTCATATATTTTAGATTCATTGCACACTAACTGAAATATTTCAGGTCTTTTATTGTCTTAATGCGGATGATTTTGGCGTACAGCTCACAAAATTAGCATATTTCATCCGATCAATAAAAGAAGAGTGTTCTTAATAACAAAAAAGTAATCTTTATTTATATACAGTTATACACTCAATACTTGGTCGGGAATCCTTTTGCAGAAATGACTACTTCAGTGTGGCGTGGCTTGGAGGCTATCAGCCTGTGGTACTGCTGAGGTGTTATGGAGGCCCAGGATGCTTCGATAGCGGCCTTTAGCTCATCAGTGTTGGGTCTTATGTCTCTCAACTTTTTCTTTACAATATCCCGCAGATTCTCTATGGGGTTCAGGTCAGGAGAGTTGGCAGGCCAACTGAGCACAGTAATCCATGGTCAGTAAACCATTTAGCAGCGGTTTTGGCACTGTGAACTGGTGCCAGGTCGTGCTGAAAAAAGAAATCTTCATCTCCATAAAGCTTTTTGGCAAATGGAAGCATAAAGTGCTCCAAAATCTCCTGATAGCTAGCTGCATTGACCCTTCCCTTGATAAAACACAGTGGACCAACACCAGCAACTGACATGGCCATCACTGACTGTGGGTACTTGACACTGGATGTTTCTGGTGGCTTCAGATGTTTCTACTCCAGACTCAGTCCACTGCTTCAGCAGCTCCCCCAAGGTCTGGAATCGGCCCTTCTCCACAGTCTTCCTCAGGGTGGGTTTTCTGCCACACTTTGTCTTTCCCACAGACTTCCCACTGAGGTGCCTTGATACAGCACTCTGGGAACAGCCTATTTATTCAGAAATATTTTTCTGTGTCGTATCCTCTTGCTTGAGGGTGTCAATGATGGCCTTCTGGACAGCAGTCAGGTCGGCAGTCTTACCCATGATTTTAAGTGATGAACCAGGCTGGGAGTTTTTAAGCCCTAAGGAGTCGTTTGCAGGTGTTTAGAATTGATTTGATGATATAGATGATTAGGTGCATAGCTCGTTTAGAGACCTTTTTCGTGATATGCTAATTTTGTGAGATAGGAATTTTGGATTTTCATTAGTTGTATGCTAAAATCATCCGTATTAAGACAATTAAAGATCTGAAATATTTCAGTTAGTGTGCATTGAATCTAATATATATGAATGTTCAAGTTTTATCTTTACATTATGGAAAATAATGAACTTTACCACCATATGCTAAGATTTTGAGAAGGACCTGTATTCATTTCATAATGATTTTGGAAACAGCTAATGATGTTTCTGCAAAGTGTTGCAAACGCCTTCCAATTTGCTGTCGTTCACCCAGCAGCCTGTATCTAGGGCTGTAAGAGCGTTTGTATGTATCCGGAATGCAGGTCTTTGCCTGTGTATGAATGTTGTGCGGTTGTCAGAATGTGAGTAATGGTTTTTCAGCTGAATGACTGCAGTGCCACATGGATATCGGAGCCAGATATTTTCCACAGCTAAGCCTGGGGATCACATGTCCCCCCAGCCTCTATGGTACGCATCAACAGGCATAAAGGTCCGAGATGAAACAAACTCCCTGGACGTGTCCCTCCATTAGGACAGCGAGCCCCAGAAATAGCCCCTCTATCGGGCCACTCGCTCAGAATCCATTACGCAGTCAGAGACAGTGATTTAGATGCTTCTTTCTTAATCTGAAATCTACGTGCTAATCTTGTGCTCATTTTGTTGCAGCCCTACAATTACCATACCTTTAAACTTTCCACTGCTGTTTAAGCTCAGCGCACAGTTGTCAAACATAGTTATATAAATATAGAAAAGCTGTAATTTAAAAACTTTGGCCTGTGATGGAAGGCGAGTTTTTTGTAAGGCCGATTTTTTTTCTCTCTTTTGTTTGACACCACTGTGATTACTTCTTTTATATAAGGATAAACCAATGACATTACATGTCTTTTCTTTGTCTCTGTCTTTGTAGGACTCATTGGCTGACGCAGGGATCATTGATGAACACTATCGTTTAGAAGGTAAACTCAGATCTTTGATCCACTTGTATTCTCTTGTGGTTGCTTTTCGTTCAATTTATTTATCATTTTGATTTTGGGTATCTCTTTACTCCAGGTCATCCTTCTAATGTCCCATTTTTTTACCTCCCCTCCTTTGCCCCCTTCTTCAGCAGTTGTAGGCAGAGTGCTTCAGCTCCTTCATATTTCTCTCTGATGTGATCCTGGATTAAGAGCCCTGGGAGGAGAAAGTCTCCTTCTCATTTAAAGACAGTGTTGGACGTGAGCTGCAGGCTGATACCTACCATTTAGTGAGATCGGCCCAGAATTGGGAAGAAAAGGAAAATAAATTTTACTTTGATTTCAGTTCAGCTTCACTGGGTCGTAGCAGAAAGAAGATGCATGTTGGCCAAAGCTGTCCTCCCCGGAAGACAGATGCTAGTCATTAGATTATATTGCTCTATTCATCCTCAGTGATTAACTGGAAAGTGAGAATCTGGGAATTTTTATGACTTCCTAAAGTCTTAATCTTTTAAAAGCAACTCTATACCAGTAACTAGGCTTTAATGAAATACTTAATTCCCTTTTACAATAGGAAACTAAATATACAGCTTATAGCAAATAATATATATGCTCCTAGGACATAAGGAGATAGCAGATTACCGTTGCTCCTTCTGGAATTTCATTAGCTCCAAGATAAGTATCGTTTCACCATATTGAACCTGCCACCGAACAGATTTACCCCTCGCGCACAATGTTCCCTTTGAACACCTCAAACGTTCAGACAGCAGGACCTCAAATCTTGCTCCTCTCCAAAAAGTTGGTAAAAAGCTCCCTGGGATGAAGCCTTTCATTTCTGGCATATTCGCCCGCCCAGGTCCGCTTTGATCTCCGTTGGATCAGGAGGAAAGAAATTGGTCTGTTGTGTCTGCTCTATTGGCGAACAAACAAACAGTGTTTCAGATTTAACTTGGCTTAATTAATTAAAGATTCTGTTTTACTGCTTGTTTGATCCTCTTCCAGAAGGTCTGAGAATGGAACTTCAAAGTAGTAGAAGAGGGTGGGGGAGAGAGGCGTGGTCTGTGTAACTCTGTGGGTGTGTGCTTCCTGCATTTAATGTGAACTTCTTTATACGTTTTAAATATACATTAAATTGAGCTGATTAAGCATCCCTGCGGAACAAGAATGAAACTGCAAGTAAGGGGCATGAAATGTCTGCTTAACTAATTTATGGGAGCTTGTGAGGTTTCAAATCTGTTGTCTCAACTATCAAGCAATGCAAAAAGAAGAAGAAGGCAAGGATATCCTGCAGCATTACTTCTGACAGCTCAAACATGATACAAGACCCCGGAAATAGACGGAAACCATTATCATGTTTTCATCCACCATTGTGGGCAGCCTTGAGTGTATCAAACCAATAATACGTCACTAAAATCTGTCACTTCGGACATTTAAAAACAACCCTTGAAATTAGGAACCGCTTGGTTGGAGTAAAAAACAAACAAACTTGAATTACTTCAATAACTTCCCATTTTGGTATTGCCAGTTTCACATGGCAAAGATTTTAGAATGAAGCTAACAAACTGCTTACATGATAAGTAGCAAGGAATCTTTTTGTTTAACCCATGAGTTATTTATTTATTTTCCTCGCGAAACAATTCCTGATCGACCAAAGGTCACATTAGACAGGCTGGATCCTCGTCCGTGCTCGGGGGAACATCAGGTATATAAGTAAATACGTCCCGTTGGTCCCCAAATTGACATTATAGCATTTTTAAAGTCCTTCTTAGGAGTCTAGATCACTCACACAGCACAGCCACGTTACCTCATGAGATCGTCTTAAAGGAATAGTACACCCAAAACATGATTAGCCTTCATTTTCTACTCACCCCCATGCTGAGCAACACTCTGGAGTACTTTTTTGATATCTCAAATGCATCTGGAGATCTGGGAGGCTTCTCGCTGTCTGCTGACATTCAAATAATGGAGGTCTATGGCGCCCGAGGCAGAAAGGTCCATAAAAGTCCACAAAAAATGTGTCAATATTCCTCCATACTGCTCGTCCAATGTATTCCAAGTGTCCTGAGTGGGTAGCATCCATAATTTACTCGAAACGAAGTCATTTAGAATGTTTTTAGAGCATAAACAGTAGTGTATAGGATTTCCTAAAAGCGCGTTCACGAGTCTACGGAAACCGCGGCAGACCAAACCAGATGAAAGTGCGCATTCAGCGTCTGCTCTGCCGATAATGCAAGCGTAGAAGAAGAAATGTGCTGTTTACCTGTGCAAAGAAAGAAACAACGAAAGAAAAATGTCTGAGGACTTCAGTGTTGAGGAAGAGCATGAGTTCTTTGCCGAGCTGAATGCACACTTTCATCTGGTTTGGTCTGCCGGCTTCCGTAGACTCGTGAACGCGCTTTCAGGAAGTCCTTTACACTACTGTTTATGCTCTAAAAACATTCTAAATGACTTCATTTCGAGTAAATTCTGGATGCTACCCACTCAGGACACTTGGAATACATTGGACGAGCAGTATGGAGGAATATTGACACATTTTTTGTGGACTTTTATGGACCTTTCTGCCTCGGGCGCCATAGACCTCCATTATTTGAATGTCAGCAGACAGCGAGAAGCCTCCCAGATCTCCAGATGCATTTGAGATATCAAAAAAGTACAGGTGCTGGTCATAAAATTAGAATATCATGAAAAAGTAGATTGATTTCAGTAATTCCATTTAAAAAGTGAAACTTGTATATTATATTCATACATTACATACAAACTCATATATTTCAGATGTTTATTTTGTTTAATTTTGATGATTACAAATGACAACAAATGAAAATCTCAAATTCATCATATCAGAAAATTAGAATATTGTGAAAAGGTTCAAAATTGATGGCCCCTGGTGCCACACTCTAATCAGCTAATTAACTCAAACCACCTGCAAAAGCCTTTAAATGGTCTTTCAGTCTAGTTCTATAGGCTACACAATCATGGGGAAGACTGCTGACTTGACAGTTGTCCAAAAGACGACCATCGACACCTTGCACAAGGAGGGCAAGACACAAAAGGTCATCGCTAAAGAGGCTGGCTGTTCACAGAGCTCAGTGTCCAAGCACATTAATAGAGAGGCGAAGGGAAGGAAAAGATGTGGTCGAAAAAAGTGTACAAGCAAGAGAGATAACTGCACCCTGGAGAGGATTGTGAAACAAAACCCATTCAAAAATGTGGGGGAGATTCACAAAGAGTGGACTGCAGCTGGAGTGAGTGCTTCAAGAACCACCACACACAGACGTATGAAAGACATGGGTTTCTGCTGTCGCATTCCTTGTGTCAAGCCACTCTTGAACCACAGACAGCGTCGGAAGCGTCTTGCCTGGGCTAAAGAGAAACAGGACTGGACTGCTGGTGAGTGGTCCAAAGTCATGTTCTCTGATGAAAGTAAATTTTGCATTTCCTTTGGAAATCAAGGTCCCAGAGTCTGGAGGAAAAGAAGAGAGGCACTTTATCCACGTTGCTTGAAGTCCAGTGTAAAGTTTCCACAGTCAGTGATGGTTTGGGGTGCCATGTCATCTGCTGGTGTTGGTCCATTGTGTTTTCTGAGGTCCAGGGTCAACGCAGCCACATACCAGGAAGTTTTAGAGCACTTCATGCTTCCTGCAGCTGACCAACTTTTTGGAGATGCAGATTTCATTTTCCAACAGGACTTGGCACCTGCACACAGTGCCAAAGCTACCAGTACCTGGTTGAAGGACCATGGTATCCCTGTTCTTAATTGGCCAGCAAACTCTCCTGACCTTAACCCCATAGAAAATCTATGGGGTATTGTGAAGAAGAAGATGCAATACACCAGACCCAACAATTCAGAAGAGCTAAAAGCCACTATTAGAGCAACCTGGGCTATCATAACACCTGAGCAGTGCCACAGACTGATCGACTCCATGCCACGCCGCATTGCTGCAGTAATACAGGCCAAAGGAGGCCCAACTAAATACTGAGTGCTGTACATGCTCATACTTTTCATGTTCATACTTTTCAGTTGGCCAACATTTCTATAAATCCTTTGTTTTTATTGGTCTTCAGTAATATTCTAATTTTCTGATATGATGAATTTGAGATTTTCATTTGTTGTCATTTGTAATCATCAAAATTAAACAAAATAAACATCTGAAATATATGAGTTTGTATGTAATGTATGAATATAATATACAAGTTTCACTTTTTAAATGGAATTACTGAAATCAATCTACTTTTTCATGATATTCTAATTTTATGACCAGCACCTGTACTTTTAAATCATTTAAATTTAAATGGTTTATTTTGTCTATTTTCCCATTTTTGTTTTAGGTACAACTGGACCTTCAGGACAAAACGAAAATAGGAAAAGCAATAATTTTTTTCTGTTTTTTTAACCACTTTGATAACTACTACTAGTATGATATCAGAACTTCTTGTCCACTGTACAGTTGAGGATCAGTGATGCTGTGGGCTTTTGTCTCCTCTTTTTCCTGCCCTGTTAGACTGGGTGGATTCCGAAAATGAAAAATTGGTCATCACTGATTGTCTAAGCTGAACAATGATCCAAATGGCTAAATAAACACAGACATATTTTACTGTACACATAATCAGTCTTCCTCTGTGTCCATCACTGTCCCCAAACATTAATCCTTAAATATTAAGCTTTTTTTTAAATCAAGATTATTTGAAAAAAAAAAAAAGAAGTGTAGATTAATCTGTTTTTTTTTTCTGTCTTATGTTCAGAAATAATTCAATTTTCACTGGTAACATAATTTTCAATTAAATGCTGAGAAAGGCATCTCAGAAGCTCAAGAATCACATTTCTGTACTTCTAAACACGTTTCCTCTTGACCCCCCACCATGTCTTAGATTTGTTTTGCTCCGATTGCTTACCAAAATATTTTTTGACGGTAAGAACCAAAATCTGCTTTGATTTTCTGCAGCCTTTGAGCAAGATCACAAACACTGTGAACAACTACAACTTCTGTGCATCTGAGCAACCCAGCTCATAAAATTCACTACTATTAATAAAATTAGGGAAAAAAGACAGATTTTTTTTGCTCAAAGGTAGACGTTGAGATGTGCCACATCTTTATTTAAGCCGCCAAATGTGAAAGCACGAGCTTACAAGTAAAACTAGAAAGAGACGACTTGTCCTCAGGTTAAGGCTGCACCCACCGATTCTGTCCTCAGGCTCTGTCTTTTATCTTTCCGCGCGTGGGTTCACTTCTATGTGTGTGTTGCTGCAGTGGCTCTACCCCCGGAGAAGACAGACATCTGCTGTGTGGAGGAGAAGATGCAGGAGAGGGACAGCCGGTCCCCCGCAGGGCAACAGAAACAGCTCCAGTTTGAAGTGAGTGTCAGCACAGAGCAGGACGATTATCACTTCCCCCTGCACGTAAAAGTGGGGCAGTGGCAGGACATGCACAAAACGGCACACTCACAGACATGCAGTATGAAACCAAGCTTATTTGCTCTGCTTTTTCAGGAGCTGGAGTGTGCTGTGTCTTTGGAGGAGGACAACAGACAGGAGTGGACCTTTACCCTCTATGATTTTGACAACAATGGCAAAGTTACTCGAGAGGTAATAAAATGATTACATCATATTTTGATTCTTATCATATAAATAATAAAATTAAGGTGTTCTCGAATGCTTTAGTTCCAGAAGTATTAAATAAATATATGAAACAAAGCCATTTATTATATCAGTTATTATATCAGTCGTCATATCCTGGCGCCGCCTCGGGTGGCAGCCTGTAGCCGAAGCTCCCGCTGTGCGCTGCAATTTCCCAGCTTGGGATAAAAAAAGTACATCTATCTATCTGTCTGTCTGTCTGTCTGTCTGTCTGTCTGTCTGTCTGTCTGTCTATCTTTTGTTAATTTTGATGATGATGCCTTATTGGAAATCAACAAAGCAAATAACCAGTACTACAGGGAATTATTAAATATGATTTTATGACTCCTTTAGTCTTAGTGGTCTTTCATGGAGTGATTGACACCCTCCAAAAGGATTATAAGGTTATTTCCAACCCATCACTTATAATTGAAAGTGAATAGAAGGGAAAGTATGGTACAAAAGGGTGCAATAGGGATAACTGCACTCTTAAAAGTGTTTTGATGCAAAGCATATTTTAGAGTTTGGAGCTTTTCAGGGGTTTCCCTGAACATGAACTGTAGCTAGAGTTGGTCTTAAGAGCAGCATGTTCTCAAACTGTGACAGCGTAGAAGAAAAAAAAACATCTCAACATACGCCAGCTCTAAGTATTTATTCTCAAACACCACATTATAGAAACTTTTCTTCTTTTTATTCAATTCAACGCTTTAAAATAGAAAAATCAACATCCAGGTGCATCTTGGAAAATAAAGACATCCCACTTGTTTATTAGCATTTAACCTCTCCTAAAAAAGCAAAAAGTAAGAACATACAGCATGACACTCACTCACTCCACTGCATGAAAAGTGAGATTTTCGTCCCCGTAAACCCCCGTAAACTCCCGCAGATCTGCCTGATTTTCGTCAGTTTCCGACAATTTGCAACCCGTGCTTGTCCGCGTTTGTCGTGCCACAAATTGTCGGAAACGGACTCTGACGTATGTGGAGAGCGATCAGCTGTACTAATGGCCCTAATTAGCATATGAATGCAGCAAACCCGCGCGGCTGGCCAAGTCTGGCTTGAATAACCTTCTCAGTATTGGCTGAAACCACTATTCTCAAACAAGTGAAATCGCTCGTGATTGGCAGCAAAACCACACGTGGCCACGCCAGGCTTTAATTTTCTTACTGAGTATTGGACGGAACCGCTTCCTTTTAAACAAGTAAAGTCGCTCGTGATTGGTTGGCATATATATATATATTTACATATATATTTATTCATATATATATTTATTCATTCATATATATATATATATATATATATTCATATATTTATTCATTCATATATTTATTCATTCATATGCTGTGTATTTATGTTATCCTACACTACTACACAATTATTATGCTACCATCAAGGACATGAATGAATTTATACAGGAAATGAAGATTTGCCAGGAAGCTGTTTATGCAAAGAAAGAGCTTTATTAAAACACACCCAACTATATACAACGCGTATCCAAACACATGCGTATCTAAAAATTACAACTCCGTGAACGGTCCGTTTGCTTCCTCGGGGTTGGAGGTAACAGGCAGCATTCCCTCCGAGGCAGGTCCGATGTGCAGACGCCTACTGTGCGTGGCCCTGTACTTCGGCATCGCTTCTAACCGGGACTGCAGCTTAACACAGAGTTCAGTGAGATCCGGCCTACAAAATGGCGGCGACCGTACAATCCATCCAGAGACACCGCCGACGACGCCATCTTCTTCGTCGGACATGAGGTCGACGGTGGCGGACTTACAGAGTTCCACTTCCTCATCTGATAGCACACTCTGCCTCGCCTTCAGCAGCTGAAAAAAAAACAATGAATCAGCGCACTGCATATGGACACAACACATCTATCAATGCACCTGAAAAATAGTCACCAAATAAAGTCTTACTCTCTTTCTTCTGGCCCGACTCCGAGCAGATAGCCTGGCGGCCTCCGCACGCAGTGTGCTGGCTAGCAGCGTGTATCTGAAGCTCCTGCATACCGTCTCATAATACGTCTTACAGGCAGCTGGAAAACAATTAAATGAGAGTGGTATGAATAAAAAAAAAAATCAAACGCAAGTCACAGTAACAAGGAAGGAGAAAACATTAAAACAAGTCACTTACACACAATATCGTCTTTATCAACATCGTGCAAATCCGAGCAAATAGGAGGTCACCGCCTCATTGTGAGGCGACTGTAGTCTGTGAAAAAAAAAAAAAAAGTACAGCTATGGTCGGTATCCATCCGTATCCATGTCCTTTTACCGCATATTCTTTAAACCTTACCCCTGCTCCGGTTCATAGCGCCTGCAATTAGTTTCCGAGTTGTTAAGACGGCATATTGCTTCCTGTGAATCACAAAAAATACACTTTAATAAAGCTTTAGGCTAGGCTGCTTTTAGCTTACCTAGCTAGGCTAGGTTGTCTTTAGCTTGCCTAGCTAAGCTAGGCTGCTTTTAGCATAGCTACCAGAAATCGAACATATATTTACCGCTAGCGTGGCGTTGTTCACCCGTCTTCTCTTCCTCGAGTTCGTATATCCTGCAAAGTTGCTCGACTGCAGTCAGAGCCGCCATCTTGTCCTCTATGGACTACAACCTGGAGTGCATCGAATTCTCCAGCTGAGTGAGGCGCTCATTCATGTCGGCAGTATGTTGGGCAAGCTGACGAGACAGTCCGCTGATAGCAATCAGCTGTTTCTTCTCGTCAGTCTGCGGGCTGGCCGAAAGTTGTGGACTAAGAGCAGTTGGAGGCGAGTTGAACGCGAAACGTCGTGCAGCCATTGTTCACGTAACAACAAAATACAAACACGGTAAATGGAGATGAAGTTCTTCTAAGTGTAGTAACACAAACATGTCTGCTAATATGCTGGTCTCGCGAGAAGTCGTAGTGCACAAAAGCTCACACGTGATTGGACGATGGGGCCGAAGGCTCATCAGGCTCCTCCAATCACATACGACGTCATTGTTATACGGAAGGACTCGCGAGAAGAGCTCGCGTCGCTCCATTCTGGAAGGTGGCGGTAATGCACCTATAAATTGTTTGCAATTGTAATTGTTTGTCTCCATAAGATTGAATTTGAGCAGGTGGACATTAGAGATAATAAATGCAACAACAAGTTTTTGAATCAATATTCTATAAATAATATGTACCCAGGAAGAACAAAAAGCACAGCTCTTACAAAATTTTAAGAAATCTATGATAGTCAAAAATTGGAATTTTTAATCAATATTCTAATAATTGTAACAAAGTATTATATCCATAAATGTCGCTATGCAAAATGCTCCCTCTCAATCTCTGCTCTCAAAAATGAACTTTCCCTTTTCAAAAGATGTCTGAGAAAGATGCAGAATTTAAATGCAATTAAATTGTTTGAGTTAATTGAAGAATTTCAGTTGGTAGTCCCCACTGATTAATTTACTTTAAACCCTATTATTATTTTATTTATTTTTATTTATTTTATTTTATACTTTGTTCCAGCCTGTGCATTTAATTTTATTTTTCAAAAGCAGGAGTTGTGATATTTCTTCTTGTATTGAAATATTTGTTATTGACTTGTTGTTTGAGATTGTTATTGTTTTCTTATGTATTCAATAACAAAAAAAAAAAAAAGTGGAAATCTAAAAAAAAAAAATTTACCATTACAGCCAACTGATTCTGATTAAAACTAATTTTTGAAGTAAATTATTTTGTGTATTTTCTTTTACATAACATTTGCATACACAGTAATCTAGCGTACTTTAATTAAATAAATCAATTCAAGCTAAAATGTAAGAGTCTATAATTAGGCTATACTGGGCCTGATCTATTTCTACCATCTATTTGGAGGATATTTATTGCCACACTTTGGGCCACTTAATACCAATTTAGCATGCTGACCTATGACCTTATGACCACAGTGTACCAATCTTCTGATGGCTACTTCCAACAGGATAATGCGCCATGTTATAAAGTGAATCATCTCAGAATCATTTCTTGAAACTTTTCCACTTAAGTAATTGTGAATTGAGCATATTGACAGACAACATTTAATTTTTTATCTTAAATGCAAATAAAAAAAAAAAAAATTACTGCTCTAAATGTATTGCTCTGTCAGCTAAAGATCTGTTTTGGTCTCTATACTTTAATTAAATAAATCAATTCAAGCTAAAATGTAAGAGGCTATACCTGATCTCTTTGTATCAGAGATTTTCTTACCCAGGGTTGCAGGGGGGCCCCCCCTGCAACCCTGGTTTGCATTTGTATAGCTCACAGCATGTTCATTTACATGTTAAAGCCTCCCCTAGAATTCCATGGGGGGGAGGCATGGGGGGAACACTGCCTAAGAAATTCCACGTCAATTTCTGACAATTTACGGGAGTTTACGGCAAGGCCTGCAAATTGCCGTAAACTGCCGCTAACCTGAAGTTCCACGACAATCTACAGTGCCGTATATTGACGAAAATCCCACTTTTCATGCAGTGCTCTGTCTAACTTAGAGCAGGATCCAGGGAAAACTCTGCTCCTGCAAGGTACCATGCTGCATGTGTCTTCCCGCTGGAGATGAGAGAAAACATCCAGAAAGGCTTGTTTTTTAGAACAACTTGAAACAGTGAGTAGAGACTGTTGCTCTCCTCGCTGGGGTTGGTTGTGCAGTCTGTTTGGCGGTGCCTGTGGATCTGTGGCTCATGAGACGGCAGACGGTGACTTGGTGGGGAAGAAAAAGCTTTCTCCTCCACACTGGTGGTTTAATTACTCACTTCTCTGAGGAAAAATGGAGTTAAAAAAAAATAAATAAAAGCACAAATGATACAGAGATCATTCATTTTTGTTTTAGTTTAGGGATGAAACCAATCCCAGAGCAATTTGTTAGCAATTAGACTAATTAAGTTTGAAAAACTGAAGGCTGTTATAGATGGGTAAAAACTTCCACTGCCACTAGCTTTAAACATATTAGGAAGATGTTTTATCGATCATAACAGATTTGAAAAGTTAAAACACAAAAACTTAGCAAAAAGTGAAAACTAGGAATATCTAAATCCATTTTATCTGAAGCACCTGGTAATTCCGGTGGAGCTGCAAAGACCAACAGCTCAGGAGGTAATAGTCTCAGGCCCCGTCCACACGAAGTCAAAACGAACACGAAACGCTAATATTTTCCAGAATGTTTGTCGTAAAGACGGAGACGTAAAATAAATGTGATCGTCCACACGAATGCATGAAAACGCTGCAAAATGTATGCCAGGCCTGTAAGTGGCGCTGTGGTGCCAAAGCAAAAATAGGCGACGAAATGTTGGGCATGCGCACTAATATTTATATATGGTTGCCCTGCGGGTCCATTTTCGTGGTTCAGTCAAATTCAGGTGCTGAACTATGTCGTCGATATTACTCTGTTCTTCCTGGAGATATTCCAGAAGAAGAAGATTCTGTTGTAAGCCCGACAGCAGGGTGAGTAGCATGAGCAGCAACCATTCAACACAGTACGGCGCCATTGTTGTTGTGATACTGTGTCGCGCATGCGTGTTTAGAGGCGACGCTATGACGCATGCATGTAAGAAAAAAAATGTGGTTAGAGCTTAAAGATGGAAACGCGAAAACGGCGTTTCAAAATCTTCCCACTCTGAAGGCTTAATAAAAAAAAGATCATTTACAGACCCCCAAAACGCCGGCTTCGTATGGATGAGAGGCTGGTTTGGTGAAAAATGTGTGCGTTTAGGCCAGGGTTTGACTTCGTGTGGACGGGGCCTCAATAGCAATGTATATTTAGTTTATTCCTGTGTCTAGTTTAGTTGATCTGTTTGGAGAAACCAAAATTTGCAAATATGTACCACACTATGCTGGTCCATTGGTTTAAAATTCCAATAAAATACACCAAAGTGTAGATCATGAACCTTTTTTTGGGCGCTCTCAGGCTTACTAGCTCTTCTCTTTGACAGGACATTACCAGCCTGCTCCACACCATTTATGAGGTCGTGGATGCCTCCGTCAAACCACTCTCCTGGCAACAGCAAGACTTTGAGGGTCAACTCTCCGTCGCTCCGGACTCAAGTCAGCGGTGGAGGAGCTGTGCTCAGGGTGCGACAGGTAAAGCTCCCGTTGACTCAGTGTGGGGCAGCGGCAGAGAAAAGAGGGCATTGTTACCTTCCATTTACACGTCTGCGCTGACAGCTCACTCAGACGTTTTGTTTGTTGTCATGTAGAGAGGCGGCCGCTTCAGGCCTGTCAGGTTTTTTGTCCTTGCAGTCTCTTCC